CTTCATAAGGAGAGGCTGTTAAATAAGATTATTAAGTCAGTTATGTACAATTGTTACATAATCTGGTCAAAGAAACCTGGTCATTTCGTGTTTTGGCCACTTAGTCAGCTCAGTTCTCAGTTCATACATCAACGGCTACACCCCGTCATGTGTCTAGTATTAAAAGATGTTTCAATTAGTGTTCTAAGTTTCTCTCAGTCTGTCTTCCTGAATCTTGGCTGTACTTTTCTTCATTTCTGTGTTCATAGCAGAAAGCCATTTCTATTTCTGTCATACTTTTGTTATTATTTTCAAAACTGGTGCATTGTGTTTTTTCTTTTTTTTTTTTAAACCAGTGTTAAAATCTTGTCTAGCAGGTGCCTAGACAATAACTCAAACTCTTTACAACCCTGGTAGCCACGGCTACCCTATACTTCCCATGAAAATGCATTGTTTCATATTGATAGCTTGCAAAATCTCACTTCTCTTATAGACGTTTGATCGCGTTGCACACTTTGATACTCGGAAATTATTAACTGCGGTGAAGTGAACGCTACTCTGCTGCATTTAAGGTTCAGTTCTAGTCCTCACATACAGGCTGAAAGCATTTCTGATAGTTCAGTCTGACAGCAACCCCACCGGAGGAGCGAAAGGACGAGGCGGGGATGTACGAACTCGAAAGCACACGCTGTATGTGAGGTCTTAGCAAATAATAGTAATAATGATAAAAATAAAGTAGAAGCTGTAAAGAAATTTGAAGCAGAAAATTGCGTAACCCGACATCTATATACTGTGTGCTCTCTATCGGCTGTGGCTGACCTGCACAGGAGCTGGCCCTTCTTAAAAAAAACAACAACCTTCCTTTTCACTCATTTCCTCACTTTTCCATGGCAACAGCAGACACTGCATACCAGAGGTGCACGTGGGTTGCAGCTTAAACAAGGGCTCAGTCTTAGAGCAGCTGCAGCTGAGGATGGACTTGGACTCCTTCTATTTAGTTTGCTCCCTCGCCCGTCTTTCTATATTTTGTCAATTCCCTGCACGCCCACAGTCATAGCAGCACAGCTCCGGTCACTCCTTACGTTTCTGGCTTACTTAAACACCTACAAACTCGGGCGTCGAAGCTGTTCTTTTTTTTTTCTTCCCTTCTTCTCTCCCTGGACTGTTTGTTCACAGGTCCAGTGGGCTCCACAGGCGCACCTTCTCACACTCACCCAAACACATAGAAAACCACTTGCAGGTAATTGCAGCATTCAAACTCTTAAAACTTCCCCTCACCTCGTACAGGTGGAGCACCGTAGACCCTAACTGACCGCGGAGTTTTCTTCATGCGTGTCTCATTTAACATTTTTGGAGCCCCGTGCGAAGCGGCCGGCTGGGGGCTAAAAACACTCAAATGAACAGCGGCAGCAGCAAGTCGAGTTTCCCTATATTGGCATGCAACCCTAACGAGCCCTTTACAAAAATAAATAAATAAAAGAAGGAGAAGGAAAAAAAAAAAGCATCGCCCTCTGAGCTGTTGAGTCTCAACCAGTGTCTGACTGTAACAGGCTGCCCTGCACTGTGTTTACGCTTCATCTCCTCGCTGTCTTTAAAGACAACTTAGCAGGGGGAAGCTAAGCTGGGCTTCAGAGTACCCACACACACACACACACACACACACACACACACATGAATGAATGCAGAAGCAGAGCAGTAATCGTTCAACACACTTGTGCTATTTAAACTATTTTCCGTCTTTGCGCGTGTGTGTGTGTGTGTGTGTGTCGGTGTCTTCTGTGGCACATTATCGTCAGCGCGACCTCCTCCCGTCCCCCCATCACAACAAACATCCCAACCGCAGGGGTCACCGCGACAACGGGGAGCCAATTACACACCAGTGTGTTTGATCAGAACAGACGGCTGATGCGCTCCACACACACACACACGGATATAAAAATGCCCGTGCACACACTCGTTCTACTCCGAAATCATCTCTTTCCTGCAAATAACTAAAGTGCCGCCTCCCCGCTTTAATTTGCCCGCCTGTCAGTGTCTAAGAATGTTGATGTTTCTTTTTTTGTTCTTTTTAGGGAGATTGTTTGAAATCTTCCAACATCTGGGGGGAAAAAAGAGGTTAAAGATGTTGGATGAAGAGTTATGTTAGAAACTCGGTGGGGAAGATGCTTATAAACACAAGTGACACGGGTCCCTTCTGTAAATAGCCTGTATCTCAGTGTGTGTTGCATAGTCCAGCCCCTGGGGTCCTGGTGGTGGTGGCCCCCCGATTGTGGCTATGCTGTCACATCCCTTTAAGGACTGTCGCCTCGCCTGTCACACACACACACACAGAGAGAGAGAGCGGCTCACGCACGCGCGCGCTGCTCGGCCTGCCACGTCCCTTGAAAGGCAGAAAACTCGGATGTGGCAGGAGATTAATGTTGTATGGCCCAGGAGCACGCATGGCAGCGCACACGCCTCCACGCAGCCGGAGCCGCGGCTTGACTCCTGCCAAACGTAAAGCGTCCTATATATTTAGGGAGCAGAAACGGCACCAGCTGGTCGTTTCGGTGTGGAGAGTATTCTTTTTTTTTTTTTTAGACGACAAAAGATGACAAAAAAATAAAATCTCTTTATGTTGTTGCTGGTGTGAGAATTTCGAGCACTGCTTGAAATATCTATCACACCAAGTCGGTCTGTGAGGAATGAAATCTGGATTTTTTTCCTACATCGTAAAGTTCTTGAAACAACATAAGACGGGAACCAAAGCGCCTTCTCAGGCGGCTGCTGCGTCTGTCGAAAGCTTTAATAAATGTTAGATTTCTCGTGTGAAGCTGCTTCAAAACCCCGAGATTAGCTTAAGTTAGCTTCTCAAACACTCTGTGCTTTCAAGAGAGATGGCTCCTGTCAGATTACTCTTTGGATTGATTACAAATCGTTGTTTTATTCATTTTGATTCTTTTTCGTTTCATTGTTGAAACAGCAATGTTTAATTCAAGCAGTGAAAAGAATAAAGTCACAGCATTTCTTTTTAATGGGAAATTAATCAAAGTTCAGTTTGTACAGTCAGTGACCAATCACTGCAGCTCGGTTGAATTTCGACCAATCTCCTTAGCCCCATTCTGGTGTAACTTCCTGTCTCTTGACTGCCAAACTTTGAAGATAAAAGCATAGACATTACAGGGTTTCCCCCTGTGTATTATAAGCCTGGCAGACCACCAGGCTATACCTACACCCCCACCAGGCTGAGCACCGTCTGTTTGTTTATTATGCTGACATAATAAACTGTGATGACAGACGGGTTATAGCCTCTTTGATGAAATGGCTGGAAGCACAATAGCAAGATAGTATGGTCAGTATGTGAACATGTAGGCAGACTGAGGCCAGATGTTATTTTTCTAATTCTCCGGTATCACAAAACCACTGCCTGTCTTTAACGATCTACATGGCAACAACTTCAGCGAGTAAAATTGACAAGTCAAAGAAATATATATTTAATTTAATTGCATATTTTTATCTTTGCCTTTTGTGTTTATGTATTAATAATGTCTTCCATATCCTTCTGTAGATTTCAACACAGTTCATGTTAAGTTGAATGACCAACTTAACTAGGAACCTCTTGCTCCTCTGTAAATGGTTGATAAGGAAATAACAGCGCATTAAAAACCAGATTTAGGTCTAAACGCTACATGAATGCATATTTAATACCTAAACTTACAGGCCTCCGCTGCCCTACCCTCAAGTTTTTTTTTCTCCACATCAGCAATTAAAGTTGTGGATCTGTCATTTATTGGTTTAAAAAATTTTTTTTAAAAAGCAGTTCATGTTGATTTTGAGATTTTGACGCGGCTGTGTCGCTCGCTGGGCCCCGCTGCTAAAAATACTTATTGCTGAGCTCAAAGGTTTCCAACCCAGTCGTTCCTCGGCTCTGTGTGTTTGCCAGAGTGATGAACAATATTTCGATGCATTAGAGTCGTGTGGGATGACAGCAGTCATTTTATGTACCAGTCGAGCCCTCCAGTGTTACCAGGGAAACCAGGATATATATGACTTGTGAGGAAGTTGAGGCATTAATTGAGAAACTTGAAGCTAAAAATGTTACTCTGAGCGATTTTCCATGCCTATATCACTATTTACTTAGCTAAATATGAGGTGCTATTTGCATTAAACCTTTTAAATCAAATATCCCATTTAAAATTTCACAAACCAAATTCCCTGTAAAGTGATTACTCGAGCAGATCCGGGGGTTCGTCGCGGTAGCTGTTCCGTTTTTAGCCCCCGTGTGGAGCAGAAAGTGACGACGCGTACCAAAGCAGTCTATCGGCCAACAGCCACATCGCGCGCGCTACCTCATCACCTCTACCAGCCATCGCACCGCCCGGTTCCCCTCGATCTGCTCCCGCCCCCCAATACCATCTGCCTCCACCCTCATAAATGAATCATCATGTCGCCCAGCAGAGCAGAAATGTTCCTTAATTGCGTCGACATCACCGGATCTGTCTTTCGTGTGTCAAAATGCACACGGCATTAATAGGAGGGGAGAGGGGTCTCTCTCCTCTGCCATGTCAGTGCAACTCAGTGTCCGTGTCCTTTTCTTTGCTGCATTGTTTTCCTCCTCTACTGTGTGTTCTCTGTGTGTAACAATTCGGATCAAATGCTGCTGTGTGGAATTAGGATCTGCGGCCTCTTCCCCCCCCACCCTCTCTCTCGCTCTCTCTCTCTCTCTCGCCGGTGCCCCGTCTCTCACACCGGCCCTCTGGCTGACAGGCGTCTCGTTAGCGCGGTGTGTCTGTCAGTGAGGTCGGAGATTGAGCTGTGCCCCCGCATATCCCCGGTGTCTCTCTCCAACTCTTTCTCTTTCTTTCCTTTTTTCTTTCCTTCTTCCTTTCCTTTCACTCATTCACAGGCTAAGTTGTTCCGTGGCTCCCCGAAACAAGCCGCGCTTTCAGGCCTCAGTAATGATCCGATGTGTTGTGCTTATTTTCATCCACTTTTGGTCAAACGTTGTGTGTTTCTGTCCCTCACTCTTTATTTTTTGTTAGGTGGAAATCAAGATGAAGAAGATGGACGCCATCAGATGGGAGAAGCTGGAGGGAGAAGGACAGGAGTCCAACATCAAACACTTCAATCCGAGTCAGTCCTCAGCTTCGATGTTTACGCTGTTTTTTTTTTCTTTTTTCGTTTTACTCTAATCTATCTGTATCTCTTCTCCTGTCTCCACTCCCGTCAGTCTGTCTCACTATCTTCCTCCTGAACCACTTCTTGTTTCTTTCCGTCTCTGCGCGAAGATCAATATAAGCTCCTGTTTGTCTGTTCTTCTCTAAAATGAGAGTGGGCAGTCGGGCTCTGCTAGAGTCTTTCATTAGCGTGACGGCGAGGGAAAGGGAAGGTTGCGGCGGCGCGCGGCTCGGTATTTCAGCCCACGCGTTCCTGTTACGGACGGGATTAAATACGCACGTTGTTGTTTCGGTGGGGAAGGCAAAGTCGTCGTTAAGTGGGCAGCCCAGTTTTCTTTTTTTTGCCCTGTTTACCATGGCCCGCTTTTAACTTGTGATGCGTTCGAACATGATATTTGGAAATTTTTTATGAAACATGTCCAGACTTGGCCTGAATCTGTCTGCTGCCGTATTTATGTAAATCTGCGTCTGGATTACGCGTCCTGCTCTGCCTCTCCATCTCTTGCTGGGATTATAAGCGGACGCTTTTACATTCGGAGAAAACAGAAATCAAATCTTGGGGTGATTGTTTGCCCCATGAGTTTATTCGTTCAGCCTTGCTGGGCGTGTTCTAAGGAAACCATTAATGATAAACTCCAACAAAGATTGCCATTTTTTCTCCTCTCCTTATATGATTCAGATAGTTGCATGTCATTTGAATTTTGTCACATAACTACACGCTTCAGTGTAATTTGTTGAGTCTAACTAAGGCATAATTGAGAAGAAGAAGGAAAGGGATGCTTCTGTTTTTAACATTTCTTATTTCAAATTAGAATCTACTTGTTTCATCAACAGGGACGTTACTAAACCTGGGCTTTACGGAAGAAAGATTTTCTGGGGGGATAAAAAGAAACATTTAAAATGTCATAAAGTTTGCCAAAAGCAGGCCCGGCGTAAATGGGTGGACGTGTGGAGGGCCGAGCCCAGGGTGTGTAATTGAAATTCAAATCAATTCAAAAAAATATTTTTATTGATTTCAAGGGGAAATTAAATAACCTAAATGTGTGCGCCTTCAAAATGACCTCGTTTGACAATTCTCTTAAAAAACAAAAACAAACAAAAAGAATATATAGATCACATATTTTCATAGTACTGAAAGAGACTCTGGCTAAAAAAATGGGTAAAAATGGATTTAGCCAGCATCATGTTTCACTCACAGATTATTTCTCACACATAATTGTCTTATTTTTTTCATTAAAGAAACAGACTTATGAGATTGGAACCACAGATTTCTAAGGTTTTTTGCGAAATGTGAGCTAACGTGTATGCTAATTTTAGCATAATTCCTTTTTATGATTTATCTTGACAAACAACATGGTTATTTCATTTCAAAGGTAGCGTAGATGTTTCTTCATACATGTGAAATAAATAAAAAAAAACAAAAAAACATGTTTACTAGCAAATAATTCAAAGAAGGTGCTACGATCAGATTAATCCAAAATTATACTTTCGACTCTATATGAAAGATGCTGTTTGGTAGAAAACCACTTTTTTTGTTATTTTTGTGCTAGAACGACGGCCTAGTCAAAGCCCAGACCCAAGTCCTATTGAGATTTGAAATGTAAAGAGAAATGAAGTGGTAGAGACGTAGCTTATAAGAAACAATGTGATTATAGTCAGAGACTGAATACAAAATCAACCCCACACTTTTCAGATTTTTATGATTAAAGCAAAGTGTTATTTTGCTTCCTCTTCAAAATGAAGGACTGCTTATTGTTGGTCTGTCTCATAAAAACCCAGTAAAACACACTGAGGTGTCTACTCGTAACCAAACGTGAAAACGTCAAACCGCAGTGCTTTCTCTGTCTCCTACCTTCTCAGATTTTTCTGCCTCAACAGTTTTTGATCTTCGGTAAACCGACATTGCGAGTTCTTCTCTATTGTTTTTTTTTTTTTTGTTGCCCCTGCAGATCAGTACCCAACGTCTTCCCACTACACCCACAAGTGGGACAAGATGGTGATGGACATCAGCGAGGAGGAGAAGAACGAGAAGCTGGAGGGAGACGCGGCGCTCAACAAGCTCTTCCAGCAGATCTACTCGGACGGCTCGGACGACGTGAAGCGGGCCATGAACAAATCCTTTGTGAGTACTCGCTCCTGCGGTGACGCGGCTTCACGTTCACTTGCTCACTTCTGTGAGCGAAGTGTGAACTGCAGAAACTTTACAGGTTTGTTTTTTTTTTTGTCATCACTTTTTTTTGTCATCCCTCTTTGTATTGATCTTTCTGAGAACTGAAAATAAGTGAAATAGAGCTTCAGGTCCACTCTCTATAAAAACGCAATAAATCTTGTGGCTGCGGATGTTTCCTCGTCTTCATTCATCCGATGAAGGTCTTACTGTAGTTCAGAGGCAGGAAGAGCTTGATAAGTCTCCAAGTGGCAGGAGTCTGAGGGAAAACAAAGAATCACGACAAAATTCTCTGAAAGTTTGATTTCCCTCATCTTCTGTTTATGGAGAGCAGCTGTGTAGATGTTTGTGCTGCCGAGACTGTGAGGAGAAATGGAGAAATACCTTCTTAAATAAAGGTGGCTTAGAGATTACACACAATATTAAAAGTGATGGGTTTGACTGAGTCACTAGAAGTTTTTGTCAACGTCCTAAAATTGCTGTTAGGCAATTAATCACATAATAAATTAAAACAAACTCAATAATTTCCTTTTGCATAATTTATTGTTTTTGTCTCAATTCTCTCTTTCTCTCAAAAGCTGGACGATAGAAGTAGAATTCATTTGACTATTTGTTTCAAGTTGTTTTGTGTATTTATTTTGCATATTTGAAACGTCTTCCGGTGTTAAACGTTAGTTCCAATTTAAAGTTTGTTGATCTTACGAGAACACGTTCTTTCATTATTGTCGCCCTTACCGTTATATTACTTTAAAAAGGTCTCAAAACAACAATGTTATCGTTTATCGCTGTGAGAATTTATAGTCCGGCAATATTTGCTGCTGTGACAGACCTAGTTGTTTGGTGTAGAAAAAGAAAAATCAAAACAAAAACAAGTTGCAAATATCAATAAACTATTAATGTCACGTTTTATTGGCGCACATTTCTCTGTTCAAGTGCATTTAAATTCCTTTAAGATTAAACTGCTACTGAAAAAAAAAAAAAAAAAACCCAACCCAGCCACAACTGAATGACATTGATGGGAGTCATGATGAACTGCTGTTTTTCCTTTTCATTTAATTGAATATCTTGAATTCTCTTTTTTAATCCAGTCTACATAATTTAGCTGCACTAAGCAGACCTGGAGAAGCTGTTTGGCATTGAACGCAACTAAAGGTTAATTCGTTGCACAACCTGAGGAACAAATACAGAGAAAACCTAACTACTTCCATTATTAGGGCACCAAGGTTGTTGACCCAGCCATCCACAAAAGTGGTGTGTGCCTCCGTAGGCAGTTGCCATGTCAACGGCCTTTACTGCAGACAAATACTTGGGTTCACTATTAAAGAAAAGCCCATGCTGGTGTTGAGATCCATCTCTGCTGCAGCCATGTTTGAATCGGTCGATTATTATTATTATTTTTTTAACCAGGTCTGTTGTGTGCAAAACTGAATGTTAGGACACTTGTGGTATGTCGTCGACAGAATACGTTGTGATTTTTTTTCACCCCCCAAGTATTTTAAGGGTTTTCATAATTTATAATGAAAGGCTGCAGCATCTCCCTGTCTGTGATGTCACTTCCTGTGTGCAGATAGACTTCAGATGGCTAAAGAAGACTCTGCAGAAAGCTCTGCAAGTTTTCTTCACATGCGATTAAGTGGAACCACACGGAAATGTCTCACTTTCAGAAGGATCAACAAGTTGTATCAAAACAGAGAAGAAACATGCTATCTGTTAGCCTAGCACTTCAGCAAACTGCTTTGTGTGCTACGCTCTGTCAGCAGGAGCAGAGACATCCGGAAACCGTCCTAGAGCCGGTTCTGGGTTCATTCGAAAAAAAGAACCGAAACCGATGGTTTTTCCACAGCCAAAATTATTCAGAGGATTTGGAGAAGATCACAGTACAAGGGCACATTATTTATCATGGAAACAGATGTTGCACCCTTATAGATAGATGGATATTTCAAATCTCTTTATTCGTCTTTTTCCTGTTTATCTTTCTTTCTGTCCTTTGTGTTTTGCTTTTTATTCCTTTCTGTTTCTTTGTTTCCTTCTGCCTTTTCTTCTTGGTCTTTCTCCCTGCCTTTTGTTTTCCTTCTGTCTTTTTGTCATTCCATCTTTCTTTCTGTCTTTGTGTTTTTGTCTTTCATTTTGTCTCTTTCTTTTTTTCTGACCCCTTTCCTCCAGTTTGTCTTCATTAATACCCACGTCTCCGAGCCGATCGGAACCAACAGCTCGGTTTATCACCACCGCCTGGCAATAATGAAAGACGGGCGGCGATTGGGACACGAGTCTTGAAATAACATTCGTGGATTTGGCTGAAAATGCCAGTTTTAAGTGCAGACCTGTGTTAACGTATTGATCTGCACAAACGCTGCAACATCAAAACTAACATAAGCATAAGAGACACTGATGCTTATCCAGCTTTCCTCTCTGTTTTGAGCTTTGTCTTTTTGTCTCCTGTTAAATTAGACTGCACAAATTATTTAGCTTGATTGGATCATTCCTAATCTAGCCACAAAAAAAAACACTTGTGTTTTCCCTCTTTGACCACTGAGTTCACCACATTATGCCTTTTTAGCTCTCATTTGTACATCAATAGAGTCGCTTCTAATCTACAGATACACACAACAAAACAAACACAGGTATGTACATCCTGATTTTCGTCTGCTGTTAGGGCTCAAGGTTGGTTTTCCTGCTGAAAACTCGGCAGATCGATGTGAGTTTTAACAATTTAAAGGACACGAGGAATTCCACACACACTCCGAGCTTGTGCAGAAAATAACCCACTGTAGTCCTTTGAAATAAAACGAATAAGAAACCTCTAATGTCAGTCTCTGCGCGTTTTGTGGAGAGCTGACCTTTTGATAGAGGCAGATCTGGTCTTTTCACTCTGCAATAATCTTAAGTAATGTTGACGATGTCGCAAAATGCGCGTTAATGACGGAGACCCGGGCTAATTTGGATTCTGAACTCAGACAACACAAAAAAACAGGCTTTCTCGGTTGAATGTGTAACACGCTCACACTCCTGAAACGACAGCGACCCAAAGCCTCTGAAAGAAGACATCCATCTGCTCTTATCCACAGGCATTGATTTGTCACCGGCTGTAAGAGAGGAGCTGAGTGCAAAGTTTATCCGACCCAAAGTCAAAACTACACAAACAATGGACAATGGGGGGAAACTCCGTTTTATAGAACGTTATTTCATTTGAGGGAAGCTGCGCATGTCCCACTGATCAGAGTAAGCTTTCAACCGCAGGAGACTCATTCGCCTTCATTCCCAGCAGAATTAACCTGCGACTCTTTTCAACATTCATGCAGAGTAGGTGTTTACTCCAACATTCACAAGCGCCAGAGCGGCGTAAGAATGTTTACATTGCAACGAAGACGCTTAATAAAAAAAAAAAAAGAAAAAAAAAAGCCAGGAATAGGAAATGCGGTGGAAATAAAGATGCAGCAGTGGACAGTGTTGCTTTAGTCGCATTGATAACTACGTGCGTGTCTTCACGGGTCTGTCCAGAAAGACCCAGAACACGTCCTTCCACTGACTCCCTGTAGCTCAGAGAGCAGACTTGAAAATACTGCTGCTAGACAACACAGTGCATAGATCGCTGAACGGCTTGGCACCGCAATACATTAAAGATGTGTTGTCATCATACTGACCTTCCAATCCACTCAGGTCTTCTGGCTCTGATTCTGGTTCTGCTCTGCATCCCCAGAACCAGATCCAAACATGGAGAAGCAGCATTCAGGGTCTTTGCTTCTCATATCTGGAACAAACTTCAAGAAAACTGGAACGCTGCTGAAACACTGTGCTACTTTAAATCAACTCCAAACCCTCCTGATTAGAGTTGCCTTTGATCGGCAGCTTATCTTTATTTTGCCCCTGAAATTTTTTTTTAACACTTTGAACTGCCTTGTTGCTAAAATGAGCTATACAAATAAACTGGCCTTGTGATTTAACATCATTTCCAGTGGATTGTCAATTAATCATCAATTAAATTCTCAGTTCAGATTGTTATACATGTTTTATATGTTTTCTCTAGTTGTTATTAAAATCAGTTTAAAACACTACATTGTGACGGAAAAAAAGTAAAAACAGGAGAAATCCGCCACAACTGATAGCAATATATTTATGTAGCCGGCTCCACTTTCACTGGAGTAGTGTGAACCTGTATTTTTTTTGTGCATATTTCGGCACATTTTAAGCAAAACTAAAATGATTAGAAGAACTTTAAAAAAAAATAAAACTTGTAGTAATCATCTGTTTCTCCTCCCTGTGCAGATGGAGTCTGGTGGTACAGTCCTGAGCACCAACTGGAGCGACGTCGGCACGAGGAAGGTGGACGTGAAGCCGCCAGACGACGTGGACTTCAAGAAATACTGAATGTCCCCCTGCGTCCCTTTTTTCTTTTCTTTTCTTTTCGTTTATTTTTAAACACCGTCTGTCTTCACGTCTGCTCTTCAGCCTCCCTCCTCCAGGAGGCGCTGCATTCACATCATCACTCCACCGAAACCAAGCTAATCAACTGATTGGCTTTGAAATGCGAATGATCTGGATTTTTTTGGAGGTTTTTTTTTTCTTTAGAGGCCGACGGACTTAAAATGGGAATCGATAAACCTGAAGTGCAGCGGTTCAGTCTTCAGATGAGTTTTCTCTAAACAGCCGCAGCCTTTCTGTTTGGAAGCCTTTTGCCATTTTCAGCAGAGTGTAAAAAAATTTACAATCGCTAAAGATAAGAACAGTAAGTGAAACTGTTTTTTTTTTTGTTTGTTTTTTTCTTCCTGTGAAGAGTCTGCACCAGTGCTCTGTCTCTTGACTCGTCTTTCTGGCGTTCCATCAGTGTGACTCAAGCCTCATTGTAAATAAAAAATTATTTCTTGTTTGGGCAGTAAATCCGCGTACTGTGTTATCACTGTCTGGAGTATGTTGCGAACGGGCCGGGAAGTCCCTGAACGCATCACTAAGACTCAAAGATGGGACGGGAAGGGGAAGCCGCGTGCTGCCATTATACGCCGGCAGCGGTGAAGTGTGGTATAACTGATATGAGAGCAGGCGGTTGAGATACGGCAGACGCCTCGAGGACAAGGTTTACTTGCTGCAGCGTGATCGGTATCGAGACGGAAGAAGTCCTCCCCCTCCCTCACCTCAGGTTGTTTTGTCCAAGGACGAGGATGCAGACGAAAACAAGGGAAGCGTTCGTGCTGTAAATGCACATTGTGTCGGTGCTTTTTTTTAAGAACTCTAAAATTGAGCCTTTCAATTCATTTTAAAAAATTCGTATTATCAAAGTATTTCATAGACACTTATAAATTTAGTCTAAATTGTGTCAAACCAGAAACCCACCAGTAGGTCAGACGTTTGATGATATCAAATTTAAACAAAAAAGTATCGATATCGGTTTCATCACCAGGGACGCACACCTCTTGTGTATTCCATGTCATTTTTTTGACTCAGACATCTTCATGGCGTTCCGTGACTCGAGACGGTTGAGGCCACTGCTGACTCGCTGCTAACAGTCCCTTGCTAGCCAGCTAGCTAACCTTTTGCGTCCGACGTGGGCAAGTTCAAATTCATTGCCAGTCATGTAAATGAAGTTTAGATGTTTCTGTGGAAATATAGGTCTTAAATTTTTCTCGCAGCGCTCTCAAAAAGGTCTTCAATGTGAGTTGGTGAAATCCGGTATGCAGCAGCTGCATCTGTGTGAGGGGGGGGTGGGGGGGGGGGCGTCCTACCAAGCCAGGAGGGCATTAATATGGATCAGCCTCCCTAACCACATCATCAAGCCTCTCACACTGAGTTAAGTGTTAAATTCATCACACATCGTTTCATCTCTCCTGATGATCAAACAGCCATTTGTGACTCTGGATGGAACTCTTAGCTCCATGACACTTTACTTTTCTCTCTCACTCTCACTCATGCACACACACACGTACACACACACTCTTCTGGTATCCTTCACACACACATACACATAAACACACCGCCCCCATCCTTACCCCCTACCCCTGCCCGAGGCGGCTCTGCGACATCAAAAGGAGCTAAGCGCTTTGCATCGTGGGTAAGATCTGGGAGCGTGACGGGCTGCAGAGTCTTTAGTCTCATTAAAGAGTTCTAGATCTTCGACTCTCACATTAAAGAAGTCTGGAAAAACTTTCTGCTGGGGCCTTCGGAGCGGGGACCGGATGAGACGCGTCTCAGAGAACACTGAAGGAACCCGGCGATACACGCATATACATGATCAGATAACATATATCCCATTGATCTATCACAGAATAAAGACGCTTGAAACCTAGAAGTTTACTTAAAAAAAAAAAGGTTTTATTTCATGATATTGCACTTTGAAGAGTTTGGAATGGAGATACAGCTTCATTCAAATGGAAATTTTGAGGGGAGGAAAAAGTACATTGTTTTGTTAAAGGAGGCTCATGGAAAGAGTTGAGGCGAATTTGATGTGAAACGTCAACAGGGATAAGTATTTCTGCTTGTTTTACATTTCTTAACCAAATTCTTCCATATGCAACTCTGGGTTCCAGGGGGAGGGGTTCATATGGGCAGTTACCCAGGGCGGCTTCAGAAAGGGGCGGTGCGCCCAAAGACAGGTTTTCTTCCACCATCACCCTGTATTTAACCCTTCCCTCCAATCCGCCCACGTGCTCTGTTCATGCCGAGTTATCACATAAAATCCCAATAAAATGCATCAAAGTTTCTATTACTCAACATCGGAAACCTCCAGATGTGCGACTCTGTAAGTCCATTGACTTCCTCTGGAGTTCTTTGTAGATATTTATGTACAGAGTACTAGGCAATGTAAATCACTGGCTCTATTAATACAAGCTTGTCCTATGCGTTTACATGAAGCGATGCCACAATCTCTGTTTTCTAGGTAGCATGTTGCGCTCTAGCTCAGAAGACCCCAGATTTGTAGCAGTGTGTGTGTGTGTGTGTGTGCATTTTAACAGCATGAAAGGAATTGGCGCCACTGCGTTTGCCTTTCAGTGTCAGTTCAGCTTTATATGCATCTAGAATTCATAAACACAGCTACTAATGCGAGTTGCTTTTGGACAAATCTGCTTAGACTCAGCTACCTACAGTAGATGTTATTAAGGTACTCCCCCCACTGCCTCCTTTTCTTCTTCTTTTTTTTATTTTTCCCTTCATCTCACCTCCCTTTGAGCCCCGTCCCTCCCTCCCTCCTGGGCTCTACCACGTCTCGGGAGAGTACGGCAGTTTTCTCACACCAGCCCCATGATGCGCGCCTCCCACCATTTGCAGGGCATGATCACCCTGCAGGCCACCCTGCAGCCTCGGAAGTGGTACGGCCAGGACTGGTGGCCGAGCGGCTCGCAGATCCTCTGACAGTGGGTGTAGCCGCGGCGACACTCGCTGCAGCACACACCCTGGTGGTCCAGCATGGTGTGGGTGTCCGCGGCGCCCTGCTCGCCCTCCAGTCCGCGCTGCGGGGGGAGAGGGAGGGTGGGGGGAGAGGGAGGACAGGGGGCAAGCAGTCAGACTTGAGTGGCTCGTTTTCCTCACGGGCATGTTTAGTGAAAAGATCTCATTTCAGCCCTGTTAAATGTGGATTTTTCAGCCGGCAGGATTGGGAGGCAGGGAGGTCACGTGGGTTTTTTATTTGTATTTTTTTTGCCCCTGTTAGTTTTCGGTTTAATCCTGCCTGCAGTTGTCAGGGCTGTGATGAAAGGAGAGGAGGATGCAAGTCTGAGCAGCTGGATGGATGGGAATGGAGGATGTGTAACGAGCTACATTTACTCACTTTACTCATGGTCTTCAAGGGGACAATATTATATAGGTTATGTTATAATGTTCCTTCGTCAAAAACATATCCGGAGTCTTGACTCTTTCGTGCATGTTGGAGAAATCCTGTAATCTCCACCCTCAGCAACAAAGTTCCTCCTCAGAGCTGCGGTTTCCAAGCTCTCTCCCTTAATGCCGCCACTCAGCTCCTTCAGACTAGCCAGCAGACATTAGCAAACACCTGGTGGCACTGCACATCAACTGGACTCAATGTAGGAGCTACTTCTTAGTGAAATGTTGGTAGAGACGTTAAAGGATTAATAGAAGAGCAATTAACCTGAAGGCAGAGTTTCAGAAAGAGGAGTTTCTTAAAGAGACAGAGGCCCAATTTTAAGGGATTAAAGTTCTGATATTTGATATATACAGCATTTTTATGGCGACTCAAGTCAACATTGCACAATAAAACGGCACTACGCAACTAGGACACACATAACACTTTAAGATACCAAAATTTCCACATAACATATTTTGCTCTGTCTGATGATGTCACTTTTAAATATTTAAACGATTCGTGTTCTCATGTTGAAGCAGTGCTACCACTCTTGAGGACAATTTTTGCGCCTGCTCAAAAAACCTCTGCATCGGCGTGGGGGCTGTTTTAAGAAGGCAAAGGGGGGCCACTGAGAAGAAATGCAGGGGGCGATGAAATTATTCATACAGCCTCATTCCTGAAAAGGAAAGCTTCAGACAGCCGCGTGGCGAAAATACATACACCCAAAGATGCGCGGTGACGTGCCGGGCCTCTCCGCCGTGACCCCAGCATCTGCCGCGGCTCCCGTGGATGTGAGAAACTCTCCGCGGGGGGAGAACGGCCTCCTCAGGTCGCGCCCCTTCGTATCCGAACGGACAGCTCGGCTCGGCGCGCTCCGGCCGGATGTAAACACCGCGGAGGGAAGCGCGCGTGACTCACCTGATAGGGGTTGTCCGGGTTGGACGGCGGCGGCCCGTCCTCGTCCTCGCGCTCCTCCGCCGCGGCGGCGGCTGCCTGCCGGCGCTCGCGAGCGACGGCTCCGCTCTTCCTCTGGCCGCCTGCACACATCACTGCGTCACTATCTGACAGCGGGACAAATTTAGGAGCGGAGGGCCGCTTCCCGGGCAGCGGTTCTCGAGATGATCAGATGAAGTTGAAGCAGGAATATCAACAAACGTTTTATATATTTGTGTGTGTATATATATATATATATATATATATATATATATAGACATATAACCTTTGACTTCACTGCACTGCATGCTAAAAGTTCCCAATCCACGCTCTCTGAGGAGCTTCAAAAACACGATTCAGATCAAACGTCTTCGATGTTAGACAGAAAAATACTTCAACCCGATTGACCCTCGTTATCTTTGTTCTGTGTCAAATTCTTCCTGAGTCAGATCTGAAATTTATTTTATTTTATTTTATTTATTGCATACCGGGTGAGTGCGTGGGACGGAGCCAGAAGATGGGCAGGTCTCCACACAGCTCCATGATCCTGCCGCTGAGGAAGGATGGGTCGGACAGAGGCGGGCCCGATGCCACCAGGACCAGGTCGTCCTCGAATCTGGCCGCCATCACCTCGTCGCCCTGCGGGGAACGGATGAAAAGTGAAACGCACCCAGAGCCACAGCCAGTCTTCTTTAGATCGACCTGCTCTCCACGACGGACGCTTCCGTTCCTCGCCATGAATGTGGCGTCGAGTTTTACAACATGAGCCCATTGAGCGTCCCATTCTCAAAATATCAATCTGTCAACTCACTGGCTCGTGTTGAACGATGGACAAAGAGTAGAAAAAGAAACAATAGCTAGTCTATGATTGACCTGACCTTGACCTTCTTCAAATCAAACAAAATGGGTGTCAAAAAAACTCGACTCCATTTGTGTCGAGCACGATATATATTGTATATCGTGCAGCAAAATGTTAAAGGTCAAAAGGTCAACCCTAACCCCTAACCCTACCGCTCCTCTGCCCCCCACACACACACTTTTATGAAATCAAACAAAATTGGTGTCAAACATCTGTGCTTATGTACCAGCACAAACGTAGCTAAGTTGATTGACACCCACTGTGTGTGATTTGAAGAAGGGGGAGGGGACTGGTTGACCTTTGATGACCTCTAGAAACATTTCTTAATATCTTTAAAATGAAAGCAGCACAAACGAAAGGTTTTGCTGCACAAACGTTTGACACCAATTTTGTCTGATTTGAAGAAGGTGTGGGGTGGGAGGGGGGGGCAACTTCACGCAGGCCTGTGATTGGCCAGTTTTCCGCCGTCGCCGCCCCGTGTCTCCGGTTGTTATGGCTTCCAGGGCTAAAATATGGAGGCATTATGCTAACGCGGCTGAGCTGATGCTTGCTTAGTGAGAGTTTTATGAACTTTTCATGGAAACAAGCATTTATTTACTTAATATGAACTTAGTATATCACTTGCTACAGTAACATGTCGACGTGAGTATTAAGCTTAAGGTTTCAATATATGTTCCTGTTTGTCTTTCAGCGTAGGCTGAGAGCCGGTGGCTGCCAACACTTTGCAGAGGCAGCCGCCGAGGGGGACGCCAGAAGGTCCCACAGGTAATGACATCCATTGTTAATTATCTGGAGTGGCAATCACAAATAGTACAGGCGATTAAAAACTCCAACCGCACGTTTACTTAAACATCTAAAATAGAGCTGAACTGGAGAGGAACGGCCAGAAAGGTCAACAGAACGTACCTGTGGAAATGCAAAGAGTTGGACCCGGTCCTTCAGCGCCATCACAGTGGACAGATTGCATTCTAATTAAGTGACCTATGAAGCCAGTTTATTTATTCAGTCATTTATTTTTTTTTGCGCAGGGTTTTATTTGCACTGCAAGCCCCCTCAAAATCCTGCTAAGTATTTTTAGTCTAGTTTCCGGTGCAAATACCTCAGTACATTTGAATTAAAGCAAAACTAACTTACAAGAAGCTTTTCAGCGAGACATGGGAGTTTGTTGCCAGTAAAACTACTCCTTAATGTTGATGACCAATGATTAGCGCACTTTTTCCTCAATAGTAAGGAATTGTTGACTTAAAACAAAAACATGTTTCTTGCTAAAAAGTTGATCTTAATCCAAGTGTACTAATATATTTGCTCTAGAAACAAGAGCAGAATTACTTTGTAAAATTTTGTGGGTTTTATTTATTTATTTGCAGTTTCATCCTTATCATTTTCCCTCCATAATTATGAATTATAATTTGTGTTGCAAATATCCCATTAAAACAAAACAAAGCCCCCAAAAAACAAGTGTCTGTTTTAAGGTGTATCACTACGAAAGTCATCCCCCAGCAGACATGACAAGAACAAAATAGTTTGCTGCCGGGTTGGTTTTTTTCTGGATCTTGTCACTCTCCCTTTAAATAATCCACACTCCCCGCATCATGTCCAAGTCTAATCCTCATTATCGGGGCCCCGAATCACAGAGTGAAGCCCGGAGGCGCTCCAGGCCGCAGTATGCAGATTTTGCGTTCGCGCTGACATTTGGCTGCACGCACGTGACGTCGGGTCTCGTCAGCATCCGACAGTAATAATAATTAATCCTGCTACACAACAGCAGACGAGTATCCACGGCCCGCAGGAGAGGAAGAGGGGAAAGTCTGCTGGGACTGATCTCGCCCACAGGCTGCGCTGCACCAGCCAAAGTCACGTTTAGGGAACCGTTCAGAAATGACTTCTTTTTTCTTTTCTTCTTTTTCTTCTCTTTCCCAGCTCAAAATAATTTGCTGTAGGGACAAATAAAAGCAGGGGGTCCTTCTTCACTGCTCGTCTGACTGATAAGAGTTTATCTGACCCGCTCCCACTGGATCAAGGAGGGTTTGTGTGTGTGCGCGCGCATGTATGTGTGTGTACGCGCGCGCGGGCGTGTGTGTGTGTGCGTGTGCTTATCTAACCCATATTTCCCATCATTCTAAATTATAGCAAATGACCAGCCTGCAGCAACCATTATAACAACATTCTCCATGTCTTCCAAAACGTGGTTGCGCACGCGCACGCACGCGGCCGTTTATGAGGCAATAACGCAAACGCACGCCCGAGCGCAAATGCGAAATAAATGATCGTTTATGAGGCAGACGGAGGCAATAAAAGCAGCCTCGCGTGATAATTAATTGCGTTGTTGTTGCGTTCACGCGGGAGTGTTTGCGCGTATGCGTCGACGGGGGGAAGCGGTTGGTGCTGTGGCGAGGATTTATACCCCGAACTAAACGATTTTAATTATCGTGCGGCCTCAATTGAGCAATCACACGCTGTGTGTGTGTGTGTGTGTGTGTTTTTGTGATAACAATCCTCACACACACACCCACACACAGTGCAAGTCCTCCTAGTGTTTTGTGTATATATATATGTGTGTGTGTGTGTGTTACCTTAGTAAGCTGTCACTCGTCACCTGTGTGGTCCTGATAGGTGACTTGCTCCGATTTCTGAGCGCGCATTAGCGGTAATTAAAAAGTTGCAGCTGTTTAGAGCAACGATGTTAAGTAGAGAAATCATAAATACCTGTGAGGAGCTTTAGGATTTGTAATTGCGAGTGCGCGATGCCGGCTGCATTTATTAATCCCTTAAACTTCAACAACAACGTTAAGGGTAGAAATAGGGACTGCGCCAATCACAGTTTTCTGGCCGATCCGCGATTGCCGATCTTTTAAAAAAGCTTAATCTGGCGATTCCAATTTTTGGCCGATACCAATTATTATTTATTTTTTTTTGTCTGAAATGTTGCTCAATGTAGCAAGAAAGTTGTTGAGTTGGCAATGGTGGGTTCGCTGTTGTTAATTGTGAACGTGCAGAGGTCCGATCTGTCGGAGAGTGAAAGAGGACAGTGTTTTGTTTTTACACATCAGCCGATTGCCGATCTCCTGACATTAGGGAAATTGGCACCGATAAATTGGCTGGACGATAAATCGGTGCACCCCTCGTTGAAAACCTGGTAGCTGACCAAGCTATCCTTCACGTTTCAGTGAAGGATAGTAATGCTGCCAAGATGCTGCTCAGAAATCATAAATACATAGATTTTACCTCTCATTTTCACAGTATTTTTAAGGTGCAGCAGCCATTGTCAGATGCTGAACTGCTGGGCAGCCTTCCATTTTTCTATTTGGATTCTTTTGCTTCCAACTGGGAAATCAGAAAAGGTTTATTTGAGCACCGTATGTCAGAAAACTCGCTGGTCATCAGTACGACAGTGTTAGACGCACACAAAGAAAATAAAAATAATAACATTAAGAGAATGGAAATTATGAAATGCTGCTAACGTCCCTGCAGACCCCACACATCCTGGACGCGAAGACTTTCACCTCCAGGTCGACGCCACAGAGGCAGATTCTCCTCCCAAGTCATGCATGCGTTTCTAGGAAGGAGGGGCTCTTCGTTCTGGCTGCAACAAACCGGAAAACATTCAATCCCAAGAAAATCAGGAGACTGCGTGGTGGGAAAATGTTTCTGTTTTGGAGCTACTATGATTTCTACATCCTCTTTCTACCAAATAATAATAATAATTTAAAAACAACTACGTTATTCAATTGAAATGTAGGTGAAATTAATTACAATTTTAATCTGAATCACAGTTTTTAATTGAGGGTGGGGTGGTGAAGAAAAAAAAGTCACAAGTGCTTTCAAGTTGGCCCCTGTGGCAAAACGTTTGAACACCACGGCTGCAGAGGAACCATTAGCTTCCACACTGAGCGGTACGGAGAACTGAATACATTCATTTTTGACGAGTGTGCTGCTGGCTGAGTTAGTTTTAACCAAAGCACGATTCTTAATTAGGCTGAGGAATCACAGATATAATTTTTCATCTCTTGAACAAACGGAATAAAGGCTGAAAAGCATTTTGAACAAAGACAAAGCGGATAATGCACAAGCTGGCCACACGTCTGGCTAAATACTTCTTTTTAGTTGGGCTTCAGTCTCTTCACAATGGATGAAACGTAACCAGCAGATATGTTTGCAGCAGAAGAAATCCAAGCGAAAACGAGGACAATCGGCATGTCATAGAGGATGTATCACTTGTTTTTTGACACAGCTAAAGAAATTCACAGTTCATCAGATTTGAGCTCATTGCAGGGGCAGCAAATAAGCAAATGAAAACAATACACAAAGAAATTCAGCTCACCAGGTCAAATGTCGTCGGGCCCTTGTTCAGAGGCTCCACATCCGGGAGTTGAGCTTTAATTTGGGTCTTGATGAAACACTTGTCTCCCCCCGAAAACCGGATGCCTGTGATTCCCTGAAAAAGTTTTGAAAGCGCAAGTTTATATCTGTTCACCTCACCAATAAAATCACCCTCGAGACCTGGTGCATTTGTGCACAACTTCAAATATATAGGAAAAAAAAAGGATCAAAGGGACTGTGATTAAAGGTCAAAATTTTAATATTCAAAGCCGTCGCCGCACTTCTCTGATTAGCCTGATTGGGGCTCTTCAATTAAAGGTCAAAAACCACCAGTCTGAATGCGCCGGGAATCAGAGGGCCGATGCATCTTGACACTGATTTTTCCCGAGGGGATCCGATGTCTACTTGTTCTTCATTCCTCCACTGGGTTAATGAGCCGATCTTCAAGCCCGATCTCGCTAATTCTTCCGGCGCGGCCGACGGCGCCGCGATGTTCTCTGATCGCTTCGCATGAAACTCACAATCTCGAAGTCGTGGACCTCCAGCGCCTCGTCCGCGCCGCTGCCCGTGCTGAACGTCTCCATGTTGTTGGCGGAGTCGATCTGCATGGAGCCCTTCTCCACCTTGCCGTTGATGCTCATGGTGTAGTGGACATTGTAGACCTGTTGACACACACACACACACACACACACACACACACACACACACACACACACACACGCATGCAATGAGCAACAGAGAACATGCTCCGCAAACCTTTCCATGTTTTGACATGTTACCACAAACTTTGGTGAGTTTTTTTTTCTTTCTTTTTAGGATTTAGTGTGACAGACCAGCACAAATTAATGCATAATTTAAACCGTTTCTCGTAATCAGAATTACAAACTTTGACTTTGGAGAATCTCACAAGCAAAGTCCATGTAATTGAAGGTTATTACGCTGCAAAAACACAAAATCTTACAAAGTATTTATGATCTAGTTTCTAGTGCATGTATCTTAGTGAACTTGAAATAAGACAAAAATATTTTCAAATGACTATTTAACAAGATATAAAGAGTTGTTTTAAGTAAATAATTTCTTAATATTGTTTAAACAACTACTTTTTCCATTGGCAGATTATTTAACTTATAACTTGACATTTTCCCTTTGTTATAAGTTATTTTATCTGCCAGTGGAACAAGTGCTTTTTCATCAATATTAAGAAATTATTTACTTAAAAAAAGTTTGTTAGTGTTATTTCGAGTTTACTAAGACATTTTCCCTAAAAACTAGTCCAAAAAATTCTTGGTAAGATTTTGTAATTTCAACAGTTTTGGTCAGTATGTGTGAATACTATGTTCTTGCATTCATTGTTTCTTGAAGGGGAACTATTACGTATTTTCCATTTTTCATAGCACTATCAAGCCAGTGCGTAGCCTTCAGTTGTTATAAAAATGCTGTATCAATCAGACATGACTTAGAAGAAATTTGACTTTGCAATTAGATCCCTTGAGAGTGGGCTTCTGTCTCTTTAAGACGCTGCTGTTCTTTCCGACCCTTCAACATGCCATCACATCAGAGCTCCTCATTAAGCCGCCTACGACCGTTCATTGGACTGAGAAGTTCTTCTCACGATGAGCCGCAGATCCACCAGGTGAAACGCTGGAAACACCACCGTTCAGTTCTTAAAAAAGCAGAAACTAATTTCATTATTGTTTTTCCCAGCATGTCGTACAATCAGTCTCATTTTCACAAGATCTGTCACCGTGTACTTTGTGTCTTAAACTGGTAATTAGCGCAAATGTAGTGCAAGGTCACACACACACACACTCACACACACAGTGACTGTTCCCTATACGTGTCTCAGTTCATTAGTCAGGCAGTTATTACGGGTTCATTTCTTCGTCAGAGAAATGCTGCTTAGGCTCCAGGAGCAAACGTTTCCTCCTGTTGCTACAGTAACAGTGGATCTTCATTATGCTGTTTTGTCAATATTCACAAAAATGTACTTTTCTTCTTCTTTTTTTTTCAAATTACCATTCATTCGAAAATCAAGTAGTATATACCCAGAGAATCGGCACTCGAGCTCCTCATCATGTCGTTATGTTCCTTCCTGTCATGTAAATATCCAGTTTCCAGATGTGCGAAGTCGATAGACCTTCATGCTTCGATTCATATCGGTGTAACATGTTTGAAAATCTTGTGTCGCAGTGACGCACATTTTTTAGTTGATCTGCCGCATGCGTGTGTTTTGCAAATTCATGCCGAGTTGTGCCATTGTGACGTAAAACGGGGGAAAGTCCAGAAGGCGCGAGGACATTTGGACACTCACAGTTTCAGGCTGGCATGTAAGGTATGAGGGTCCTGAGAGTGAACCCACCTCACACTGATGTGTAAGTAAATAAAACTTTATTCATACGGTCCTGCTGTTCAACTTGTTTTTTTTTTATTTAAAAAAAAAGGCCTTCAACAAACAAAACAACAAATACACAAAACAAATGACATCGAGTCGGAGGAAAGGAGTTGGAGATACAGGAGAGGAACCTCTGTCATTTAGGTTTGAATAGGGGGACAATCGGCAAGACTTCACAGGACCTCAAGGCCCTGCTGGGGGTGCAGGGACGCAAAAGTTTGTGGTACAGATCAGTGTGTGTCCGTGTGGAGCTCCCCAGTTCAAAAGCAATGTCGGGAAATGCACTAGAGAATGAGCAGTTGCATTAGAAGTGGAGTTACATGACAAAACTATGAAGATCCAGTCAGGAGCTCAGCAGCGACACCCTGCACAGACTGCAGCTGATCCAGGGAGGTTTTGTTTAAACATGTGCGTTGTAAAAAAAATAAATAAATAAAATCTGAACCAGACGAAACAAAAGCCCAAATTAAGATTTCTATTTCTGGATGAGACAATAGGACTAAGTTTGTCAATATTTTGCAAATGGTAGAAACAGAAACAAAGCAGACATTTGACTTGATTTTCCTTTGAAGGTCATCTGAAGGTTTAGAACCGATGATTTATCCACACAACCAAGACGTCCAAGAACCTGTTCTATTCTTAATTTACTTATTTTTTTCTGGTGCAAAGATGTTCACCTCAACTTTCTTCTTCTTTCAGCTGAAGAGAAAATAGCAAAATACTTTTTATTTGGAAGAAAAGAAATATACAACTGGATGTCGTCAGCATAATAATAGGAAATTGGAATTGCGAAAATAAATTTGCTTATTTTGCCAGTTTTGGAAAAAAAGTTTTCAGAAAGATTTTGTGCTAGGATGAGGTGATTTTTTATTTTTTTTGTCTGTTTTGAATATGGTGTATTTTACAAAACTACAATGTAAATACTTGTTTTGCTTCACTCGTAATGAACAGCCCACAAAGAAGAAGACAAAGTGCTCGGAGGATGGTGGTGTGGCATGTTTTTTAACGACTTATCGTGTGATTAAACGTGTCCACATGTAATGTAAATTGGGTTTCTTATTTAATGGAGATGCCACAATTGCGAAATTTTGTGTTTTCATCACAATTTCGCAATAATATCAACAAAGTTTGCAGCTCATTTGTAATGGAATCTTAGCTACTAAGACGCCGACGTCTTCTTTGATACCTGATGAGGAAATATTTCCTCTGGCTGAAATCTGAATATATGTCATGTCGATCTTTACATCTGTCGCTGCCAGTGATGTGATGTGTTTCTATTCTTATGTAATAGAAACATTGCAATTGCAAAATTGTGTTTCGTAGACATCAGCAGAATGCCAACAAAGTGTTGCACACTTTTGAAACGACAACTCAGCCAGTGATCGGAGATATTTTCAAAAAGTGACGGTATTCGACCAAGAAGGAGCAGGTAGAGCAGAAACAGTGGTGGCCCTGAAGCAGAGACCTGTGGAACGCCAAAACGAAGATCTGTACGTAAATGTAGCCAAGAAGGCTTAAGGAAGAGCCTGAAATACCACCCCAACTCCCCAGTCTGTCTCCCGATGTTGGATGGTCAACAGCGTCTTTTTGTTCTCTCACATTCCCCTCTACCCTTCTCTAAGTTAAACCTGACACTTTCCCACAAGCGTCCCACATTACTTCCCTCGCTGCCTCTTTCTGAGGCACACTTTCCACGCCCGGTGTAGTCTGGCGTTCTGTCTATCTCATCTCGTCTCATTTCCTCGCCACAGACCCTTTCAATCTTTTGGGAGCAGAAATCGCCGCCGACTACATTTTGCCGCTCGTGTTTTCCACCTCTTGCCCCCGGAGCTTCGACTGGACCAGAGAAAAAGAGAAAGAGAGAGAGAGGGAAAGAGAGAGAGGGCGGGGGGGTGCAGGGGCCCCTCGCCCCACTCCTCTCCACCTCGATGCACCAGTTCAGGATCCCACAGCACAATGGCTCCATTCATTTGCCTCACACTGTACCCCAGAGAAGAGGCGGATGAGTTACACTTCTCCGTTTGCCTAAATACCAACAATTTAAGAAGCTAAACACAGTTTTGAACTCCTCCGTCTGTTTTGATCTGCTGGGACTTGAATTCAAATATCCTAACACCAATGACTAACGAACTTTTGTTCTTTCCTAATTCAACTTGAACATATTCGACCGACATCTTTCTAGACTGCCATTTTCTCCAAAGAAAGCTGTTTTTATTTTTATTTTTCTAAATGGATATGGAGAAGAAGAGAGGAGTGTGGGGGTATTTGAGCTCTATTAAACTGGCACAAACTGATTCGTCACATCCTCCCTTTTTTTAATCTGCACTTTAATGGAGCTGCAGCAGCCAAAGGATCACTGGATGCAACCCTGAAACAAAGACATGAAATATAAAAAAAAAAAAAGCATCCCGTGCCCTTTAACACCAACAAACACATTTTGATATGCATACAATAATAAACCAGAACCTATCATCAGGCTGCACTGTCTTCTCTCTAAGAGTTTCTGCTGCACAGAGCTGCAGGTGTGAATCGTCACTCTTACGTGGTTCTCGTTGTTGTTCCAGAAGTAGAAAGCGCCGGCGGCTCCAAGCAGCAGCAGAACGGCTCCGGCCACCAGCACGGCGATCCCGGCCTTCAGCAGGCGCCCGGCGGAGGCCGGTTTCACCGCCACGGCGGAGTAGGCCTGGTCGGGTTCGACACGAGCAGCAAAACAAAAAACCCACCACATGTGAGACGTCTGTGGTTGGACGGAGCTGGTCACCCCTTAGGGGACGCACAGCAGGGTGCCGCGGCTTCGTCTTGCACTGACCAACTCACCGGCGGCATGAACTGATGCTGGTCCTCCGGTTCGACTGTCGCGATGGGTGTTTTCTCTGAGCTCCCGTCCATGACTAGAGCCAAACAGACAAATACCTTTTTAAGCCCCAGTTCACTCAATCCCCCCAACTCCAACCTCAACCCTCTCTCTCTCTCTTTCTCTCTCTCTCCTCCTTCTTAGAAAAGGAGGAGGTTCACTTCTGGGCCGAACTTTACTTCTCAGCCCAAGCTGAGCATTTTCAGCTCTTAGAACTTTCAATAAAAAAGGTTAAGCTAAGGTTGTAACTTCAAGCTGATTAGCAGCCAGAGAAGGCATTAATGTAACTCGGAGGGTTTTTCTTTTTTATGCTTTCTTCCAGAAAAAAAAATCATTAACCATTTTTTTTTCTCCTTTGAAGCTTCCACGGGCTTTTGCTCATGCAACTTACATGAGTCTGATCCCGCTCTGATCCACAGGATTTCATATCATTAGGTTTCATGACAACCTGAGCGCGGCAGACTTGGATCTGTTCAGTAAATCGAGATGATAGCGGAGGAGGGGTGTTTTATTTTTCCCTCTTCTACATTTTCATCCCAACTTTGCACAGCTCTACCTCTTGATTTTGCTCCTAGTTACTGTTTCCGGTCAAAGGTCACGCCTGCGGAATGTCGCAGGTTGATTTTTTTCCCCTTCCTCCTCCTTGATGGACATGGCGATGAGCCAAAGCCGTCCTCTGTCTCTCTCTCTCTCTCTCTCTCTCTCTCTCTCGCCGAGCCACATTCCTACGCCGCCTCCTGCGTCCACATCTAATAAAACATGCCCCGAATCCATGAATGATGATGATGATGATGGGATTAAATGTGCGTTTGGCATATGGACAAAAATATGTAAATAATTTTTTAAAAAACAACGGTGTTCTGTCGAAGTAATGAGAAGATCTGGAAGCTCACTGAGTTTTAGAAAAGTATTTCTACCCTGAATATGGTGAGAAAATTCTACCCCTCCTCACAATGTTGCAAAAAATTTGGTAGGAGGGGTAGCAGGTGAATTTGTTCTTCTTGGCTTCGTCTGCCCACAGATCTCATTCCTGTTCTGTTCATTTTGGGGTTCCGCAGGGCTCTTTGGGCTTTTTGGGGTTTCTGCTCTACCTGCTCCCTCTGGCTCAGACGCCGTCATTTTTTAAGGATGTGTCCTTTCACTTACTGCGTTCCCATTACAAATGTGCAGAAAAACCTTTGCCAATACTGTGGCGATGTAAAGACAAAACAAACCAGAAAAAATGCAATCGCTTTGTTTTCTTTAAATAAGGAACCCAATTCAAATCACAAGAAAGCCACGTGTTGCAGGTGTTTCCCTAAACTTTCCAAAGTCATGACATCGTCATTGTCTAAAGAAGGTAATCATTTTGTACGGAAACTCCTCATTTTCAAGACAATAAGTCTGGCATGTTCTCATTATTGTTGATTTTAGTAAGTAGAAATCATTTCGTCGATTTTAACTGACCTTAAACCAGAAAGGTTTGGTCTAATTTATGTCCAGACAGTAATTTTTATTAAAAAGGTGCATGTGTCTTTTTATTCCAACTGTGCAAATATCTGGTCTTAACTGCATCTGCATAAAACATTGGGAGAGCTAGGTTGGGTTTTAATGATCAAAGTCACAAAAAATTGAGATGGAAATGTGTAAAAGTTGCTTTATCTGTTGGTAAAAACTTAAAAAAAGACAAAAAGCTCGACGGCGGACACGGCTGTCTGCAGGACAGTTCAAGCATAGCAACATTTGGTTGAGATCATCTCTTGACCAAATCTTCCCCGCCTCTCGCTGCATGCTGAACGCATTTGAAAAATTTCAGTTTTTGAGTCCATCTGACTAAAAACAGGACCTTTCGCATGTTTTGGTCACATTGACCATATAATCAAGAAAACTGGAATTACAAAAATAGATTTCCTGAATGGAAATGACAACAAAACTCACACTTAACAAGAATGTCCAGACTCCAGAAGGAGTCGCCTTCATCTGGTCATACGCGAGTGTAAAAACACGATGCATGTCCCATCATCACATCGCTCAGGAAGGAGACTGGTTCTGTGTCGCAGAGATTAATGTGATTTGGTCCAAAATGAGCAAAACAGAAGCCAAAGACCTGGAGGAGATGCTAGTCGGCGTCATCACTCACACTGAAACATATCCGATTAGGCTTGAATGCCGCTCAGCGAGGAGGAAGCAATAGAAGAAATAGATGACATCATTATGTGAAAAAGATTGAGGCAACATCATCCAGGAAGTTAAATCTTGAATCCAAATGCATGCTAAGTGACCCTTAGCATGCAAACAAAATGGTTGCAATGTGGCTTACGGACAATAAAGTCAAAGTCTTGTGATCTGGCCGATGCAAAAAGCCCTGATCTCAGTCTGATGGAGATATAGGATATGAAACGGCAGGTGAGACAAAGGAGCCTTAAAAACCTGACTCAGGTACGCCGGTTCTGTCAGGGAGGGAACTCCAAGAAACTATTTTGGTTTGACGCCAGTCACGCAGTTCAAAAGTTGAATTGAACGTGGTTTTTTTTTTAGCTGTAATGAGAACATTTACGGAAACATCTCATTTTGAAGACACCAACACATAAATCTCTCACATACTCTTTTATTACTGACCTGAAACGTGAGACGTTTGGTCTGATTTAACTTCAGACGGTGAGAAAGCAAAAGGTGCGTGCGTCTTTTTGTTCAGTGTATGTAAACATCTGGCGTCGACTGTAAATGCAAGACAGTCAGCGACGGAGAGCAGGATTACTAAGGCGGGTTTTGGCTGACTTGTGTGAGAAATGGTGGGAGCCAGAGGGGAAGAGCGGGGTGGATTGCAGAAAAGCGCCTCAGTCTGTTTTTGGCATCTCACCAGCAAAATCATGTATTCACAGAGGTGGTGGTGACCTTCCTCGGCGGGCTGCAAGGACGCTCAGGCTCAGTCCTGCTGCAATAACAGCGACGCCTGTTATTGCTGACTGGTCCGACTGACGCGCCGTCATCCTGTGGAACAAACTCCAACGCGCGGGCTCACAAGAGTATCTCAAAGTTTATTTCTTTTCATAGTATTGTGACGATTTAAAAAACAAAACAAAACAATTCTGTACAATGAATTATTGCATTCAAAGGTTTCCATACATGGTTGTCAGCTGGATACGTTTTGAGTCACCAGCCCCTCAAACGGAACATTTTTTGAGGGCGTTTTAAATAACAGGCATGCTTAAAGATCTGTATTTACATATATATACAGTTTTTAATTTTTTTATTTTTTTGCTTAATTCTCTCCTTTTTTTAATGTAGAAAAATAAAAATCTCTCCATGTACAAGGCTTGCATATGATACACTTCATGTCCAACAAATGTCTCAAAGTGATTGACTGGGCCTCAGAGGCGGCTCTCAGCACAGACAGACGTACATGAAACAGCAGAGCCGACCCAAGGCATAAGAAAACTGTGTAGCTGCTGAGGGCCTCCAGAGCCAACAGGGGGCAGCGAAGAGCTCCAAAACTGTTGGACAAGTAAAGTTTTAGATTTTTTTTGTTTTTGTTTTCTTGTTCAAGTGATGCATCTGCAGTTTATTGTGCAAAATAAAACTTGTGATGATATTATACATCATATTTGAAATCATTTAGCATTTATATGGTTTTTACAGTTTATGCTATACAATCCCCTAAGTTAGGGTGAGCTTTCTGTTATATGTATGATGCGTTAACTTTTGATTTAAAAGGGATTATTTGAATGATGTGAGCTGTGAAGGACCCCAAATCAAATTCTGCTCAGGGCCCCATTCACTCTCGGACCGGCTCTGTAGGCCAGGATAGGATAAGCTCACAGGGCAACACGGCCACGTCTCTCTCAGCTTCGAAGCACCACAAATCAAAACTCTGGAAAGTCTGTGCATTTCATCGAGAGCGTGAGAGTTTGTGCGGCGCTCCGCCCTAGACCTCGTTGTTGGGGCAGTGCGTCGGAGTCGGGGTGTAAACGGGGATGGCGACTTCGCTGATCTCCTGCACCCTCACTGGTCTGGGCGGGGTGACCAGGACGTAGTCGTATTCGCTGTGCAGGACCTTCTCGTAGACGCTCTGCAGCCCCACCGTTTTGGGGATGTGGGCCTGGTAGTAGTTGTCCCTGCGGTTGGGGTCCCGGGGCAGCGAGGCCGTCTTCGGCAGGCTGCTGAAGGAGGAGAGGGTCGGGGCTGGAGAGGGGGCCGCGTTGGCCCTGGTGGCCGAGGGGCTCCAGCATCGGTCCGAGTGGCCCAGGACTTTACACTCGCTGGTGCACGCCCACAGAGCTAATAGAGGAACAATGTTAGGTTACAGATGTGGACGGGTACGACTCATCTCTTCATCTATTGTTTTGCTGTCTTCAGTCCTTACCGTTTTGCCCCCCCATGGGAGGAACCATGGTCCCATCCTTCTTCAGGCCAGTGTCTCCGCTGACATCACTGTCGCTGTCATTGAAGTCGCTGTCCCCCTTGCCGCTGTCTTTTCCACTGAAGGCGGGGTCCCGGGCAGAGATGGTGGTGTAAGAGTTGCCCTTCCAGATGGTGATGGGCCTCACCGCCTCTTTGCCGTTCCCATAGCCAGGCAGAGTGGAGTATCCCTGAAGGAGAAGAAAGCACATGTTAGTGTCTGCTTAGTAAACACATTTCTCTGCTCCCCCTCCTCACAACCCCTCTGTCCCAAAGGAACATCTCACCTCGTGTTTATTCCCACGGAGTTTGCTGTTGTTGTCTGAGTCATACACACAGGGCACCTCGCTGCCGTCCTCAGAGGCCGAGCACATGTCGCTGCCCCCGGGGTGAGCCGGAGTGAAAGCACCGGGCTGGCTGCTGTACGAGTGTCCGTCAAAGACCTCCGCTCCGGCTCCTCCATCTCCTCCAGACGCTCCTACACCTCCCCCCGCCGCTCCGTGGAGTGGCAGCAGCGGGTTGTCCCCCGCGTGGCTCCTGCCTCGCTCCAGCGTGCCCTTCTCCCCGTAGGAGTCGCTGTCCTCCCCGCTTTTGTCCCGCCGGCGCCGGTTGCAGGTGGTCGCGATGAGGATGATGGCGAGCAGCAGGAGCGTGCAGCTTCCCGCGAGCACGACGA